GCCTCTGTCCCTCTGACTACTATACCATCCTCATGGTAATCATTTTAAACCAAGGCTTTTAAATATCAACAGCACTGACTTAGTCTCCCATCATGGCTCCAACTCATATAAATGGGTCCACTTCTCACTCACCTATGGTGACTGCATCTAGGCTGTGAGACCTGCACTTGGGCAGCTCAGAACAGTGTACTTAAAAAAAAATCACACTTCAAGCATGGGGGTATAATCATTTACTGAAACGTGAAAATAATAGCTCCAGGAAAACTACTAGTTTTAAAAATGGAGTAGTCTTTGAAGGTCCAAGGAATCCTTTCCCAGATCATCTCAAAGCAAAGATCCATATCAGACATGGTGGCAGACATCTGCAGTCTGAGCATTTGGAAGGGTGCGGTAAAACTGCCATGTGCATAAGCATAAGGCTGGCTTGGGCCGCGTGGCTACTTGGCAAGACTTTGCCAAAACAAAACCGCACCCTCCCCACAAAAAAAAAGCAAGGAAACAGAAAGCTCATTGTTCTTGTTTACATTTTTGAAAAGATGTTGGGTGTTGGCTATTCCTTGATGGCTCACTGGTGAAAATGGTGCAAGTCTCAAGTGTTTTGGACATGCGTGAACACACTGCAGACACAATCCTTTGTCTTGGACTTTCTTGGTCTTATAACTCTGTGAGCGGAGAGAAGTGGGAGCCCTCGGCACCCTTCCGAGACTTTGCAACAATAGCACCTATGTGGAGAGCACTAACTAGAGGCTGGCAGCAAGGGGACCAGCTTCCATTAGGTCACCAGTGGCCTCTGTCCCCTTGTTAGCAGTGGAAAATAACGTGTGGCTCTGGTGAAGACACACCTTTCTCACACTTGGGTAAAGGAAATCTCTAGACTTCCATTGTGCCTTGCCTAGACCTGTCCAAGCTCAAGGCCCCCAGACAATTGTCAGCCTACTGGGCTAGGTCCCTGTTGGCAAGCTAGCCAATGACTGTTCTAACCACAACTTAAATTGGTATTTGTGTGTTTAGGCTACAGCACCAGGCAGAAAAATGGTTAGAGTACCCAGGGAGAGTCCGTGGTCACAAAACTCAGGCTGTCTGTTCCTGAATTCCTGTCTATTCCTATGGTGAGGGAACAGTAAGTAGACGGCACCATAGGCCAGTGTGGGGCCCTGGTAAGTGTCACCCCCTCTCCAGCGAGTCCCATTTATTCCGGTTAGGCCCACCTTCTCCATAGAGAAATCCTATCTGCACCTGAGAGCCTGTTTTGACCTATTTCTGTTGGGTTTGGGAGGATAGATTTCCATCCACGTTGCCTGGCTCTGAGAAATCCCGCCTGGCCTTACTTCACTCAGCTGTCACTGGCCACTGCCAAGGACACAGTCCGTTCCCTGAGCCGCCGTGCTGGGTGCCATAGAGCAGAGATCACAGGTCTGGCAATTAGTCCTTCACCATCCTTCTCACACTCAGCTGCTCTGTCCAGAGACTCCTAGGGAGACGGTGAACAGACAGAAGAGAGAGCATCCCCTGTTGAATAAATTAACTCCACACCACATGAAAGCCAAGCAGATATTGCCAAAGGAGCACCAACAGCACAGACTATTGTTAAAATGCCCCTCCCCGAATAGATGTACTCTGCACTCCTACCCAGTGGACATGGCTTTGAAGCCACCTGCTTGGACCCTAATCTTCTTGAGCTGTTGAGACAGTGTGCCTGCCTGCCCTATTGGCTGGCAATAGAAACTTTCAGGAAGTGTTTTGAAAATAAGAGGCTGGCTTAGTAAGCAAAGGGCTTGCTGTATAAGCCTCAGGCCCTGAGTTCAGAATCCCAACAGCCACAGAAAAGCCAGGTGTGGTAGTGGATGGTGTAGCCCCAGTGCTGGGCAGATTTCAAGGGCTCAGCAGTCAGCCAGGTGAGCCCAAAGGGCGAGTTCTAGGTTCAGGGAGATGCCCTAGTTCAAAAAAGAAGGTGGAGAAGGGACTGGGAAAGACATCCCAAAGTCAACCTCTGACCTTCACATGTGCCTAAGTGGGTGAGTGCACACACAAGCGTGCTGTGCGTGTGTCCAGACCCACATACCACATATAAACTTGAGTTGTTGGAAGTGTGGATCTTGTGAAGTCTGTTAAAAGTGGGTGTGAGGAGGAGAGGAAAGGGATAGAGGTATGAGGGCATGCATAAACACCCCCCACCCCCCGCTGACACAAGCAAAGCATGGTTAGGCCTGGGGCCTCAGCTGTGATTTAAGTTTCACAGACCATTGTATGTCCCCTGTTGAAGGGTCTCTGTCCCTTACTCAGCTGTCACTCTCTGTGACAAACTGGACAATCCAGGAACAGATGGTGGGGAGGGAGGTGACAAAGCTCACGGTAGTGGTTCTACCCAAGTTGCTGGCTCATCTCTCCCGGCAGTCACTCCTGGTTCAGGAGCTCCCTCTTCAGGAGAAAACCCTTCCTGTTGGGCTCGGTTGTGTGGGGTTCGCAGAATCACTTTTTTTTTTTTTTTTTTTTTTTGCAGAATCACTTTTATTTTGCTTTTCTCAGAAGGATGCATTCTTCCATAAGCCAATAGAGAACACAGCTGTAATTTGTAATAGTTCTAGATCTTCTGAGTATTTCAACAGGCAGACTTAATCCTGGCCCTGTTAGGTCTTTTCAATTTTATTTTCACACTGGCAAGGTCTTAAGGCTAAATCAGAAGTAGAGGGTCACCAGGATAGTGTCATGGCTGAGTATGTGCTCTAACGACTCAAGGGGTTTGGTATATAGATTTAGACCATGGTGTGTTAGATGCAAGGCCCAACCACTGGGGCCAGGGATATAGAGGCAGAGTTTGGGGTAATCTGCCTACATGCTTCCTTATTGCCTTAGTCAGTGTTCTATTGCTGTGAAGAGACACCATGACCACAACCCTTATAAAAGAAAGCAGTTAATTGGGGCTAGCTTACAGTTTCAGAGGTTTAGTCCATGGTCATCATGGTGGGGAGCATGTCCACACACAAGCAGACATGATGCTGGAGAAGTTAGAAATACATACTGATCCACAGGCAGGAGAGAGAGAAAAAGAGAGAGACAGAGACAGAGAGATTGGGCTTGGGGTGAGCTTTTGAAACCTCAAAGCCCAACCCAGTGACATGTTTCCTCCAGCAAGGCCACACTTCCTAATCCTTCCAATCCTATCAAAGAGTTCTACTCCCTGGTGATTAAGCATTCAAACATACCAGCCTATGGAGGCCATTGTCATTTAAACCACCACAGTTATGTTCCCATGACCACAGAGTGAATCCAACAACGCTGCAAACAGTTAAAGTGACTATGAATCCATAATTCTGAGCTTGTCTCTCTCCAGACCACTAGCTCAGCTGGGTCACCTAGCCTAAGGAACCAGGTTTTTTTCAGCTCTCTAGTGCAGCTTGGTCTCGAGAGCCCGATTTCCTGTAATATCGGTGAGAGCGGAGCTCCACTAACTTTCTAACGGATCCTGCAAACTATGAGACCAAGTGCAATACAAATTAGGATTATACAATTTTATTTGCTTCCAGAAGTGGCCCAGATGTCTTCAAAACCTCTAATGGTGTGGAAACAATGTACCCTAACTTTGCCCCATGGAGAAAGCCATGAGCACCACTGGGAGCCGAGTTCCTAAAGCACCCTGGTTACTATCTGCTGGGAATTTACTCACAGCAACTGTGGGACTTAGGGCTCTCCCAGGCTGGTTGTTTTTCTCTACGCTGTTTTGTAGACAGGAGCAGTGGCTCTCAGCCTGGCTGTGACATGCTCTGGGACAGCTGAGTTTCATTATAAAGCCCTGAGAAAACCTCGGAACAAAATTAATCCCAGCCTCACCTACACACTGACACAATTTAAGCCAAACCTACATTCCCGACTGAGGAAGAGGATCAAGGGCCAAGGGCTTCTAAGACTGTTAAAGTTGCAGGAGCTAGAAGACCCACTATTTGGTTTCTGGTAACATTTGCTAGGTGTGAGTAGGAAGCATGAAACATTGAAGTATGTGTGACAAGGTTCTCCAAGAAACTTAAAAAAATGAGACACAAGTAAAAGTAAAAATCCTGAGTGAGACTTCAAGGATCTAATGTTATTAGAAAAAACAAAAACAAAAACAACAACAACAAAAAAACTAACAGAATTTTTCAGCTGTTCTGACATAAGTTATACATGTTTATTTATATAGAACATTTCCAAAAGAGGTGGAGAAATACCACTTACACTTTCAATACAAAAACTTGAAATTATTTCTCTCCAATAATTTTCCTTCCAATTTTTATCTCCTCGTCAATTACGTCTATTAAAAGTGTTATACAGGCTGGGGAGTCAGCTCAGTGAGTACAGCACTTGCTCCTCAAGCCTGATGTCCTGAGTTTGGATACCCAGGTAAAAGCTGGACACAGCAGGCAAATACAGGAGACAGACACAGGAGACTCCATAGAAGGTTGGAGCCAGCTGGTTGGCTTACACAGTAACGAGTCTCAGAGACAGTGGGAAGATGAGGATGGGCACTGAAGACTGTCCTCTGGGCTCCACACAACATGCACACATATAAACACACCCATAATTCTTACACCCATTTGCATGCACACACACACAAACACAGACACACCAACCACACAGATATACACACACACACACACACACACACACTTACCCCCCCAAACACATGCTTATACACCCACAGACATACACACACACCACCACCACCACCACCACCACAACAAAGTCCCAAAGTGAAGCCGAATCTGCTTGTCTGCATGGTTCTCTCTAAGCCTGTGTTGCGAAGAGTGGGTACTCTTTCTGAAGCAGGATCATCTACATTCCAGGTTGGCCTCTAACTTTGTGTGCAGCTGAGACTGTCTTTGAAATTCCTGGTTCTCTCGCCTCCACCTCCTTAGTGCTGGCATGGTAGGTTTACATGGTGCTGTAGGGGATCAAACCCACGGCCTCCTCTATGCTAGGCAGGCAGTCTTCCAACTGAGCTATATCCCAGCCCCCCACACTGGCTCTGTAGAGTTGGATTTGGAGAGGCAGATTCATTTCTCAGCCACCAAAGCACCAGCGTTCACCGTCATTTCCATGTTGGGAAGGAGGCAAGGGGAAATGAGACTGCTGGGGAATGAGGCTCAGCTTGGCTGAGAGTCAGAACTCAGGATTGTTCTCTGAAGAGGCTGGGGTGCTCTGTGAACAAGGGAGGTCAGCTGAGCAGCAGCCAGCCTGCCCTGCTGTGTGCCCAGTGCAACAGTCACTTGAACCTCGGACATTTCTGCCCCAAACCTCCTGCTGCCTCCTTAAAAGAGCCTTGCTGAGCATGCTCCCCCGAACTGCTTTTTGGCATTCATTCATTCCCAATTCTCTCTCATATACTCTGTCCTGGCTCTAAGAGATCACACTAATACACATGCTGGACAAATCTTTTAAAAACAAAGCCAGGTTTATAACTCTAAGAAGTTATAAAATGTACATATTTGGGCATCATTATTGCATTGGAAGCTGCCAAGTTGGTAAGAAGGAAAGAAGGTCAGGTTTCGGGTAAGTATTTTAAAAGGCTGAGAGTTGGTTTGCTGGAGCCTGTAGTGTGGACTCATGTGCTTCTGTCAAGGCACCTCAACAAAAGTGGGAAGCCAACAAGTCAGGCTGGAGGAATGACCTTGGTTTCCCAGGAAGTCTTCTCTTCTGGACATTTTGAAGTCTGAGGCAGCTGCACTCCTCAGATCCACACTCAAGGGTAGCTTGAACTAAGTGCAGCACAGAACACTCTGCTGAGATCTCCCAGCACATCCATGGTCAAGCTAAGAGATGGCACATTCATCACTGGTCCATTAACAGATGCTACAGGCACCTGGTGGTCTTCCTGAAGGTGCAGAGTGCTTTTGTAAGAGCAGAAAACTTTGCGGTATCTTAGGTTGCACAGGAAGCAGCCGAGCCTTGCGTGGGCTGCATCACTTGTCATTTGCCCCTTTTTCGTCTTTGTGCTGGCATCTGGAGAGGAAAGAAATGGACCATGTGAGAGCCCAAGCATCACTGACAGAACAAAAAAGGTTGGCTGGAAGCTTGGATCCCAGGAAGTAGCAGCAGTGTATTCAGCTGGAGATTCCATCCCCCACCCCCCAGCTTGGCCATCTCATCTCGGGATAAAACCAGTTGACTAGAAAGAAATTCTCCCTGAAGTGTACAATATAATGTTTAAAATATAATACAATGTTTATATCACTCGTAGAATGGATACCATCATTGTGAAAAAAAGGGAAAACACAAGAAATGCATGAAAACATGATCCTAAGATGAATAATTCCTAAGTGATTTCAGTTTTGTGCTTCCTCCTCCTTTTCCCCTTAAATGTTTTTCAAGCACGAGCCTCACATTCACCTGAATGTCTGGCAAAACAGATAGGCATAGACTTTCAGGGAGAAGGCCCTCACATCCCTGAAGAATTAACTGTACACGTGTAGCAGCTCTAAACTGGCCCCTTTCAGAGTGTGAGACCTTGCTGAGGATATTAATTTCCATCCCACAATGTGGGTATGATATAAAGGTAGCAAGGCCCTCCTTCCGTTCTCCCTCTCCAGAACTCTTGCCCTGTCCCTATTTGGCTTTCTCCATAGCCCTGGCCCCCACCACCTGGCAGGTTATTTGCATGCTCACCCTGAAATAGAAACATCTCCAGGTAATGTTTATTTTGTTTTGTTTGTTTGTTTTTTGTCTACCACACCATCAGCTTCATATCTGGCACCTAGAGCCACGTTTGACATACAGTAGGTTCTCAGAACATGTTCTTAGGAAATGAGAGAATTTAAGCTCATTCCTCAATTTCTTTTGAAAAAACTATCAACACTGTTTTACTCACATATGCACACAAGGAAGACTACTTTAATGTCTATGAAGACCTCTTATTCCTCTATAATCTCACCTAATGTCTTCTGCCCTCTCAAACAGGCTTGATTAGCAAAATAACATTAACACAGCACAGTAAATTCTAGAAAGTTGAATCTTGATATCCTAATAGTTAAATTCACCTGCTACACAGAAACTTTATGTTCCAGTTTGGGTCTGGTGAGGACAAACTGACCTATAGAACTTATTAAGAATAAAACTTGAAGATGAAGCAAAATATGTTTAATTTTTCCCCTCTTGTTTTTCTATTACAAATTTATAATTTCATTATAAGAAACTACTTTAGGATAAATGGCTATTGTGTAGATATTTCCTCTGAACTGAAATATTCCTCTCTGGGGGACAGTTAATAAAGACTCAGGAAATAAAACTCACAAATTTCAGGAAGTTCCTAAAACTTAGAAGATTCACAAGGCTCCCAGAAAACTCAGAGATGCTGTAACAACTGCTGAAGTGAAGGACCTGCATTTGTTCAAGGAGCTCCAGAATGCAGCTGCTTTGAATGGTTACTCATGTTGGGTGGTCTGTTTCATGATGCAGCTGCCTCTGACTCATCCACGCTCCTGTAAAGATTCCCCCATTCACAGTTCTGTAAGTGATGCCTCAAAACTGACTGATTCACAGGGTTAGACATGAGTGGAATCATATCTTCACTTAGTTGTTGTTGGTGTCCTGTCTGGAGTAAACATATATTTGTGCATATCTTCTCAGGAAGAGCCATGCAACAATTAATTGTTGTGCCTGTTTGTATTGTTTACTTATTATTATTATTTTTTTTAAGCTTGACAAATCTGGGAAGAAGAAACTTCAATTGAGAAAACGCCTCTATCAGATTGGTGAGTAGGCAAGACTATGGTGAATTTTGTTGACTAATGATTGATGTGGGAAAGCCCAGCCAACTGAAGGCAGTGCTGCCTCTGAGTCAGTCCTGGGGTATATAAGAAAGACGGCTGAGCAAACCATGGAGTGCAAGACAGTAAGTACTTGTAGTCTCTGCTTTGGTTCCTGCCTTGAATTTCTGCCCTGTCTCCCTTTTATGATGGGGTATAAGTTTTAAGATGAAATAAACTTTCCTCAGTTGCTTTTGTATTCATCAGAATAGAAAAGAAAAGCCTAGTACAATGGCTACAAGCTATACAGAGAACGAGGCAAGAGCCCTGAGGAAGCCAAAAGAAAGAGGCCTGAGACTGACTGCATTAAACAAACAAACAAACAAACAAAAAACCCACCATCTTGGCTCTGCAGGGCCTTACTTTGGGCACCTGTAAAACAGGGGGTAGTACCTCTCTTTGGATGGTTGTAAAGATTAACTTATACAATGATATGTGACTGCTTTGGAAACTATAAAGTTCTATTAAACAAAGCTAGGAAAACTTTGGTTCAGCCTGACAGCCCCAAAGAGTACATAAACCTGAGGAGTGTGTAAATCTCCGTACATAAGAAGGTATGAAAACTGAATCCTTCCAATCATTTAGACAAATCAGGTCTTCCATATGCTTAACATCTTGCTACTGCATGTACCATACCTAGGCCTGTGCAAGACAAACAACTGAACAGCCCATAGCTCCTGCTGCTGGGAGCTGGCCTCCATTGGCCAAGGGAAGTGAGTGTTATTGAGGCAAGACAGAAAGACAGGAAATCTAAAGCAATACCAGAAAGGAAAGAACTGATCACTCTCTGGATCCTGTTTGAGCCTCTTGCTGGCTGCAAGTCAAGAATTTTACCATAGCTAGCCAAAGCCCAACAGAAGCTCATGAAGATTACCTACATAAAGGCAACACTCCTTTTTCTGGGGGAATTTCTCAAATAAGAATGTGAAAGCAGCCAACAAACCATGGCTAACCTTTGTACTCCAGTGGCAGCTGTAAGGTGTTAGGTTCTCTAAAGGATTTGGAAAAACACTGATGAATAAAATTATGAACCTCTTTTTTTATAGACAAAAGAGGTACCTGGACCTTTTCGTGACCCATACATAGTAAGAGTTTCTTTGACTTTTTGAGGGTGTTTCATAGCACCCCTTTCTTCTTTGTAAGCCCCTACAATATACTCCATAAACTTACAGTTTATGAGTTTGATTCCCAGCACCCACAAAGAAACCAAGGTGTGTGGGCCAATCCATCAAATAATCTCCTTTCCTCCCCAAAAATCTGTAAATTAAAAATGAATGTAACAAAACATTTTTACTTAATCTTTTGAACTGTAGATTACAATAACACACACATATACACACATAGGCATTGCTGAAGTCCTTAAGTCTTCCTTGCTATCAACAGGTAAGCTTAAATCTAAGCATATGTTGTATTTTCCTAAACAAACTTGAAATTCATTTCATACTAATCCGTTCTGCAACTCTTTCCATCAACCTAAGTTAATATCTTGAGTGCATCTAAGTAGAGGCTTCTTTAGATAACTCCCTAGACTTCAAGACTGAGTTATTCCTCCTGCTGCAGACAACCTCTCCCTAGTTACCATGGCTCCTTAGTCTGTAACTCTAGCTGTTATATAGACTAAATGAGTTATTACATGCCAAGCTCTTAGATCAGTGCCAAATGCAGAAACTATCCAGTGTATGGCTATGACTGAGTTTAGAAGTTCTGTGGAGGACAAAATAGTAGCAGAGTCTCAGGGTATCTCAAAAAGCAAGGAGCATTCTGCAAAATAAGCAACTGTTATTCTCAAACATGCCAACAGCCTTTAAAGATAAAAGAAACACTAAGGGAATCCTGAAAATTAAAAAAAAAATGTGGAGCTAGGGAATCTCACACAATGCACGATCATGAAATAGAGTTCTGGAACAGAAAGCATTAGAAAGGTAGTAAGGTTACAGATTAACAAAACAATATCCTTATAAATATCCTGGGTTTGATCACTGCTCTAATGTCTACACAAAGGATTATGGAACACAGGGTAAAGGGTACACATAAACTTTCCATAACATTTTCCTTCTTTTGTATTAGTCTAAAACTATTTCAGAAAAAAAAAATGCTGGGATGTAGCTCAGTGATAAAGCACCTGACTATCATGTTTATGGACCAGGTTCAATTTCTACCACTGTGAAAAAGTAAGTAATTTAGGACAAACATGTCTGCAAACTAAAAGGGAAGAGAAAACCAGAAACCATTTCAGAAATGACAAAGGCAGCAGAACTAGTGGACAAGGACATTTAAGGTATTGCAACTATGATATAATAGCAGTAATGGGAACACACAAGAACCAAAGGATATTTAGAGATGACAGGTACAGTATGTGGAAAATAGCACTAACTGAGGTTAATAGAGGATGCAGAGTAAAACTGAAAACACAGAGGACCAGTCAAAACAAAAAAAAAAAAAAAAGAAGAAGAAGAAAACAGAAACTTGATGTCAAGATGATGTCAAGTGGCCTAGCACATATGGAGCCCCAAAGTCTGAGGGTGTGGCGAGCATAGAAAGAAAACAGCGGAGAAATATTTGAAAAACTATGGCCCAGAGATTTCTGAACTTAACAATTATAAAGTCAACATTCAAGATGCTGAGGCAAACAAGCAAACACCAAGAAACCATCTGAAGCGTCAGCTTGTTGCAACTACGTGAAAAGAAAAGCGAAAACCAGAGACGGTGTCCCTTCAGGTTGCACAAGCCAGGTGACAATGGTCCTGAAGGGATAAAAGGAATTGATACCCTACCTGGGCTAATCAAGAAGTGACCAGTATCAGACATGCAAATGGGCGCAGTACGTCAGATGACAAGCAGAAGATAGGACAAACGATGGGCAACCTGTGTCAAGAAATCTGATGGTCTTAAAAGATATCACTAATCAACCTAATAAAACTGATGGGCCACAGCAGGGAAAAAAGGGAGGAAGGAGGTGTGAAAGCAGAAGAATGACCTGGGTAAAGGAAAGACATCCAAGGAGTGGAGGGGAGCAAGAGAGGGTGCTGGGTGGATATGATCAAAACTCATTCAATACATGTATAGAAACCTAGCAGTGCTTAACATATTCTAACAACAACAACAAAAGGACAAATTACTACAACTGGAACAAGGAAAAGGAGAAAACTGGAGTAGTACTATGGAAATCAAAATTGTAATTAGAGACTGCTTCAGAAA